CCTTTTTCCAACCATATCTAGAATGTAAGTTTTATATGGCTTCACTTATATATTACTCATGTCTTGAGACCACTATTGATAAAAAAAAAACTTGCCACAGAAAAAAAATTTTTAAGTAATTTTAGAAAGTAAGATTTATTAAGCACCAAAACACATCTAATTTGTATGAAACTTTCCATATATATTAAAAAAGGGACAAGGAATCTTATGGAATGTGAATTCTTTTTAACATTAAAACCTAATTTTTTAGTTCGCAGCATTTAAAAACTTAATTTATAGAGAAAAAACAGTGTTTTTTGATAGTGGAAATGGCAACTATAGTCTTTCCTCAATTTATAAAATTCATAAAAAAATTATGATATAACGCTTTTTCCCCTTTGCGTATTGTTTGTTTTGATTTTTGTGCTAGATTTCTGCTTTCTTAAATTATTTTTGTTTATTTTAGCATTTCACAGCAAATTTTCCATACTTAAGGACGAAGCGTTTTTTCAAAAAATTATCTGTTTTTCCAGCGCAAAAAATGCAATAACTTTGGATCGACTTTTTTTTTGCTCTATACAATCATGTTATGTCAGCAACAAAAAATGATAAAATAAACTTGCGCATGAATTTTATTCAAATGAAGCTTTTGAAGGTAAGGATTCCTAAGTATAAAAACACAAATTTGTACATAGATTAAAAAAGCTTGATTTGTGATGCTTTTTTTTTTTTTCGGTGCCATTACATAGCAAATTTTCCATACTTAAATACTTAAGTTTTGTCAAAAAAATTATCAATTTTTTGAAAAAAATGCAATAGTTTCGGATCCACTTAACTTCTAAAGTTAAAAGACCCTCATTTTTTAAGTCTTTTTAAACTCTATACAATTATGTTAATCATATATAAATATATTTTTAAAAAAATCCTGTGAAATGGCTATATTTGTGTTTAATTTTAACTGCATCTAACTAAATGTAGGTAGCGGTAAAAATGAAAAAAAAAATTGATAATAAAAAAGACTGATATGATTTTGTGGAAAGTAGCAAAATAAAAGTCAAAATAGCTAATTTCAAAAAACTTAACTGAAAATAGTAAAATAACTTTTATTACTTATAATTTAAAAATTATTCACCTTGTCTCCACCAAGGGTCTGTATAATATCTACATTAAAATCTTTTTTATTTAAGCTTTTTGTTTTATCTTCTTCTTGTACAACTTTATTTGACTTTTTATTAGCATTTTGTTTATATTTATTGGCTTTACTATTTTTTTTAACATCCGCCATTTTTAAAGCATGGACGGTAGTTAGTATTAAGGTATTGCCGAAAGGTCGGCGTTTACAGCTTTTCCGAATCTGTTGGAATCACCAGTAATAAAAATTAAAAATATTTAGTCATAGTCATAAGAAATCTTTTTTATGACTATGGAATCAGTGATCTCAATAGTAACTCTAAATTAGAGTGTACTAAATTAATATCAGTGCAAGACTGATGACACCAGGTGGGCCCAGATTTCCATCCCTTCCACATACTTTTTTTCTAAAAGTTTTTTTTTCCTAAATATTAAGGACTTTTTTTGAAACTGACGATTGTGCTCCTCAACTTCGAAACCAGTGCCGTCATCCTTGCAGTGATTTTGAATAAATTTTTTTTATTCTGAATGGAAAGAATTTATTTCATAAAATCTAAAATCCAAAACTGATACGCTAGACTTTCTGCATACACACGTCCGTTTCCTGTATGCAAAAATGCACGTTTTCGCAGAGAGTAATACAAAATTACCATTCTTGCAAATTTTTGTTACGTCTTGCCTGTAAACAAACAAATGCACTCTTGGTTTATCATTTTAAAACGTTACCAAGCTTTGGGTATGGTAAGAACTTCAAAATTCTTTAACAGAGCCTTTGACACAAGTCCATGATTTACGAGCCATTCCACAAAAACCTTTCTAGAAATTTCAATAGAAATTTCAAGAATTTTTAAGGCTGTTAAAATTTTTACTAAATTAATATTTAAATTCATTTACAAAGATGTTTCCAAAACAGTAGTTACTGTAAATTATTAGTTCCCTTTGAATACTTTTTGCTTTACTTTAAATTAATAAACAAAAACAAACGGAATATCAAATTTTGATCTTATAGCACTATTATTAGTGCCCAGACCTTCCCGTATCAAAATCGATAATTACTCTAGATCAGTGTTGTTCACAATTTCTACCCTACCGGTCCTACTGCTTGTGCAATAATTTTTGGTGGTGATGGAGACGTTAATTTATATTTAATAGACGTTAATATAATTTGCGTCTTATAAATTGGTACAGGTGTTGGTGTTTGTAGTTTAAAATCATTATAGCGCGTTAATTTCCCTGATGGTGATTGAACTTTTTTCTTTTGATTGTCTGGCTTTGGTTAGCTGTGCTATTTCAGTAAATTTCTGTACATTTAAGGATACATCAGTTTCTGGGCTCCAATTTTTTTATTGCTATTTAGAGTTTTAGCTTTCAAAAAAAAATTACAGAAATAAAGTAAATGCTGACTTTTTATCCTTTGTAACTCATAAACAGTAAGGTCGTACAAAAGTCCTATTAGTGTTGTTAAACGGTAGCCTTTCTTGTCAAACTCCTATTCCGACGCTATCTTTCAGGTCTATGTACACTCCGCTGCGTATATCCCTTTGTATCTCAATTTACCTAACATCTATTAACCCGAGTTGAAGGACACAAAGGACGCTCAACGTAGGAATAGGATTTTGAAAAGTAAGCCTACCTTATTAAAGCTGCTGTGGGAATTAAGTAGTAGTAGTAGTAGAAAAATTTCTGCAACAGGTTTCCCTGTATAACCTACAGGTTTTGTCAGCCTTATCTACTTCATACACTAATTTTATTCATATCAATATATAAAAATTTACAATAAGATATATAGTATGAAGTATAAGTTTGTACTTTATTGTTTTGTTTTTTTTGTTTTTTTTTTAGTTATAATCTCGATACTTATGCGGATTATTTGAAATTTCTGCATCAAGCTTAGCCTTGAAACTGTTAACTGATGAAGCGCATACAACTTCTGACGGCAATGCATTCCAATGATTCACTATTTGATTAGTATAAAACTGGTGCCTTTGATCGCAATTTTGAACATATTCTCTAGTCATTTTTAGATGATGTCCTCTAGTTTTTATTTTATTTGACTCCCCAACACGAAGGACATGGGGTTCACTCCATGAGACAATGTCTATATTGTTAATAATTTTATAGGCCTGTATTAGATCTCCCCTAATGCGACGGGTTTCTAAAGACGTTAAGTTTAGTATATTCAGACGATCTTTGTATGACATATGACGGTACGAAGGTACCGTCATATGTTAATTTTGTCAATATCTATTCTTAATGATGGATTACTGGCTGCTACCGCAATTTCCAGATGAGATCGTTCAAAGGTTGTATATAGAATTTTATGTGCTATAATTTGCTGACAAAAACCATAAAAAAAATTTTACTATTACACTAACATTATATTTAAAAGCCTTGAAAATAGGAAATCTTGTATATTCATTCATTACAAAGCATATAACTTCACATGTAAAGAAACAGAATTACATTAAAAAATAAATTTGTGAATTTTACAGGATACCATTAACCTTTCCCTACATGATTAAATGTTGCTCTTACAAAGAAGTATAAATAGTAATACATTAGGATAACATAACATTTTACAATTCTTAAAAATAAGATTAAATTAGGAACTTTCTAAAATTCGGAAATATTATTTGCAAAATACGCCAAAATAATCGTGTTTAAATACATATATATTATATATATACATATATATATATATATATATATATATATATATATATATATATATATATATATATATATATATATATATATATATATATATATATATATATATATATATATATATATATATATATATATATATATATATATATATATAAACACGATTATTTGGCGTATTTTATATATTCTTTTTTTTTTTATCGCACACATCAAAATTTTTTGGTCTGCAATATCTGTTTATTCGCTAAACTTTGTTTAGTTGCAAATCTTTCACGTCTGCATTAAATTATCAGAGTTCTGAATATACATATTTGATTGAAAATCAGGTCATATCAGAAAACAGTAGAGCTAAATGTTTAAGGCGCGTTATTCAATTAACTTTAGAAATAAAAGCTCAGTCCAAATTATAACTAACAATTGGTTTTAATTTTTATAAAAAACGCAATCAAAATTTTAAACTGTGGAAAATATGTAGAAATGATTCAAATATTCTGATATTAGATATTTAGATGTTTAATAAACATTATTTTAATTTTGTTTAAAATACTGTTAGAATAAATGAACCGTTTCATATTTATTTCGTATAAACGTATGTAATTGTGAGATCAGATTTAAAACAAATAATTTATTAGCATTGTAAAAAAAAGCTCATTAACGATGAGCTCTTTTTTTACATCTTTTTTGATAGAGTATTCTCCACATTCGATAACTTTTTAGACATACTAATGGTTAGAGTTTTAATAAATAACTTAAAACCTGTTTGAAATGTTGGTTTCCATTATTTGAAGTTGGAGCTTTGTTGAGCAACAAAGCCTTTTATATCAAAATTTAATACAACTATGAAACTAAAAATTATGACTTGACGTAAGTGATTTTTCAAAGTAACTTTTATTTCATGAAGTAGCCAAATACACGTTGGACTTGTATTTGGTTATTTCATGAGATTCTATTGTCGTAAATAAGTGTTTAAGCGATATTTCTTCTTGTACGTAAAGTCGAAATATTGGCTTTCCGTAATACAAGTCAGACATTTTAAAATTGGCATTTTATATCTGGTGAGGGTCTATACAAACTAGACCGAAATATCACATAAAAGAAAGTTAGTTAGTACACTGCTGTTTTTGATGTTTTATAACTAATTATCATTACATATAGAACATCAAAAGCAGCAACAAAAAGAAAAAGTGATAGAGAAAGAGAAAAAGAAAAAAAAAAAAGAAAAATTAGTTAGTACGATGCTGTTTTTGCAAAAAAAAGTTTCTTGTAGTACGTAAAGATATAATTATTTATAAAACATCAAATTTAATATTTACGTAAAATTATAATTATTTATAAAACATCAAAATTGATGTTTTATAAATAATTATAAATTTACGTACTACAAGAAACGTTATTACCGAAACAGAAAGATTTAACGTATATTACATGAAACAGTAAGATTTAACGTTTACCGCGAATGTAATTTATTTTGTAAATAAACGATATTTACCGCCGATGAAAATTCGCATTTTTAAACCTATTGTTATTCTTATATATAATACATATATAATGCATATTATATAATATCCAAGTTATTATTGCTTACACATTTTGATAGTCACAGTATAATAAATGCTAATAAAAAGTATTGCATTTCATGAGCATTTAATATAATTATATTTATTTTTGTTATATCATAATGTGTAAATAATAAAAAACTTTAAATATATATGTATATGATCTTTACTAAATGTGTGTTGTACCGATAACCTTATCAAAACAATTTGAATTTACAATTTTTAAATATTTAGTCGTTGTTATTTTTTTTTTTTAAATTAGATAACTAGTTTTCTAAATAGTTTAAAGTTGGCAATCAAAGATTTTTTTTTTCAAAAGATTTTATTCATAAGATAATTTTTTAAATGAGCATCTGTTAAACTATCTAGGTTTAAATTTATTAGAATAGTTTTATAAATACAAATCCAAAATCGATCCAAAATCGTATTTCCTTTACACTCATACTGTAAGTACTACTTGAAATAACAATACAAGCTGTTAATGTTAAAACAAAATGTAACAAAAATATTTAACCATATAACTTTATATTGTTATAAAATCATATTTTAAGAAATGTAAGTTCTATAAATAAAATCTATTATTGTATCAATCTATTATTTAACATCAGTGTAAGTAAAACCCTTGGAAAATTTTTTTCAGGAGAAAGCAAATAATTTAAAACTCTAAGGCTTTGTGTATTAAATTATTTTAAATTATTTTGTCAAAGCAAACATAATTTGACCAAATTAATCATTAACTAGTTGTTTTATAGAAACATTTGTTTAAATATATTGTTCTGTGAATTTATTTACATTTTTTTATTTATTTTAAACTACAATTACTTATCTATTAATTTGCTTTTTTATGTTTTTTTTATTTTGTTTAATTTTTTTTAGATGATTATCAACAATATTGAAACAATGTCCCATGATATTACTCATAGTTGTAGTGATAGTTTAGTAAATATGCATGAAAAAATTGTTATAAATAAAGAAGTCCATGTTGATAGAATTACTGAAAATGATATTTCTAAAGGAGGCACTAGTTTATCAGGGGATAAAATCTTAGACACCAATCAAAGAAACATTATTAATGAACCATTGCAAATGATGACATTAGGTAGTAACAATAGTTTTTTTATGACTTCCAAAGTTTTACCAGAAGAAGGAATTTATAGATCAAAGGAGCTTCCTCAATTTTTACAAGATTCATTATCGGAGTCACTATCAAAAATAAACATTTGTGACAACGGGGATCAAAAGACTATTAACTTTGTGGATTATCATTCAGAAGAATGTTTACCCGATTTGACAGCACTGATAACCAAAGATCTATCTGAACCTTATTCTATATATACATACAGATATTTTCTGCATAATTGGCCACAGTTGTCTTTTTTGGTAAGAGATTTTTACATACATACATACATACATACATACATACATACATACATACATACATACATACATACATACATACATACATACATACATACATACATATATACATACATAAATACATAAATACTTATGTACATACATATGTATGCATGTATATATATATATATATATATATATATATATATATATATATATATAATGGTAAATTGCCTGACAAACAGGTAAAGCCTGCTAGGAGTACTGCTACATTAACTGAGAAGTGGGTAAACATGCAAGGAGTGATGTTACATTGACTGACAAATAGGTAGCACCCTTATTACTTCCATCAGTGACTCTGTGTTGGTTTGGTTTAAACAAATATAAAATAACTTTCATTGAACCTCTACCTTAGATTCATTTTATTGATTATGCTTAAGATTTATTAATATCATTGTTTATCTATTGTATTAAAATCAAATGTTCAAACCTGAATGTCACAGTAGAAATGTATTCAAGAGATGTTTTTTATATTCAATGACAAGTATATTAAAGAGATTCTCTTTTCTATACTCAATAAATATTCTATACTCAAAGTTATTTTTACTGAGTCAACTGTAAACAAACAGTTAATTTGTTTAACTCTAAAAATGTTATTTCCCTCTGTACATTCTAGTTTGACCTAGTATGATGGGGACTTTAAAACCTCTTAATCAACTGAGAAAATACCAGTGGAAAACAGCATTTTTCACCTTTTGCCATATCATTGCTTGAATATATATCTTTCAGAATTACCTCTACTTGGGTTTAGAATATTGAAAACTACTTGGATACAGAATATGGGTCACTACTTGGGCTTATAGAGAAAAAATTTAGTATTTAAAATTGGTATTTTGGTAATGTTTTTGTAATTTCTTAAACCAAATTATACTTTTGAGCATAATTGTTTTATTGTCATGACTTGTGAACTATAATAGATTTTTTAAAATCTGAATTATATTAATAAAATTTCATTTACTTTAAGGTTGTAAGCAAATAATTTTTTAAAATATTTTTATTTGCTCCTATTTTGGAGTTGCTGTCCTAAAAATGTTGTGTTTTTTATGTTTATAAAATCTAAAAAAAAAAAAACATCCTTTTTTTACACTAGTTTAAGAATGTATGAATTTTATGATTGCAGCACGTTTGGTAGTTACCTTACTTGAACATAAAAATTTCATAGGTCTATCCCATTTGAATACTTTTTTTGAAGATGTGCCACCTGCAGAATTTTGATTTTTACAGTTTTACGGTTTTACAGTTTTGTGTACCATAATAGCTTCTTAAATAGAGTCTACAAACATTTTTAGGGTGTTCCCTAAAAATTATGTTTTATTATTTTATACCGTTGAAAAAATCAAATCTTTGCAGAGTAAAACAAAGTTACACCAATCTGCAGTGTGCTAAGTATTGGACTCAAGTGTCAAACTGAAATCCTTCAGGTTTAAAGGCTGGAGTGTCAAACTGAAATCCTGGAGTGTCAAACTGAAATCCTTCAGGTTTAAAGGCTGTTTGTCATTATTTGTTCTATATTGTTGTTCTATAATGATATCAAAGTCATATACTAATTAAAGAATCTTTGTCACTACTTTACTAAGAGAAGTCACCACTTCACATAAAGGAAAAATAATATAAATTCAATATGAACCACCTCAGATTTTGATGAAACTCAGTGGGTTGGTTTATATCAAGGAGAAAAGCAATTCCTAAAAATTTCAGCATAAAATATTTTGTGGTTTATAAGAAATAGTTATTTGAAATTTCTGATTTTATCAAAAAGAACAACTTAAGTAGCAAAAACATGTTTTGTTTAACTTAAGAATTGTGCTTTTACTTCAAATCACCAGTAACTTAGGATCAACACTAAATTAAAAAATAATTTTTTTTTCCTTCTGATTTAATAGACTTTATTACAGTGATTTCAGAAAGAAAAATTGGGTACTCATGGGGAAGTTACAAAATCAGAACAATAAAATTTGCACAAAATGCATTAAAAACAATAAAAACAAAGATATTGATGCACTTTAGTTCACATTATATATTGTTATACAAAGAATGTATATGTAAAAGTATTTCATACTCATTACTAGAAATAAGTCTTAAATTCTGCCTGAATTAAACTCAGTTTTTAAATAGCATAATCTCTTAAGTTTTAGCTGGAGCCATTTTTAGGAGTCCATAATTTTTTACTGAATTGTATCTTATCAATAAATTTCTAAAAATTTGGAAGCTTTTGTCTTTATTTTGCTTTTCTAATATGTCTTTCCACTTCTTAAATTGCAGATTTTGTTTATTGACCCATTAAAAATCAACTTTTTATATTTGCAAACGATTTTTCAGGTTTTTTAGGTAGCCGTTATAGGTAAAATGTGACATTCAATGTCAAAGTTTTATTAAAATCTAGAATTGTATAGAATAAATAAAAACTAGAAGATTTTTAGAAATTTTGTTTTTAAAAAGTATGAACAAAATATGTTTTTTGTTACTAAAGTTTTTATTTTTGAAAAAATCAGAAATTTCAAATTTCTCCAATGACCATTTCTCATAAACCACAAAAGATTTTATGCTGAAATTTTCAGGAATTGCTGTTCTGATTGATAACCAATCCACCAAGTTTCATCACAATCTGAAGTGTTCCATAATGAAATTCTAAAAAAACTAATACAAGTTCATCCTTTGCTGCTATACCATTTCGGGAAAATGAAATGTGCTTTTTAGTCATACCCCTCGTGTTCACTCTCTAAATTATTTTTGTTTATGTCTGAACTATATTATTTATTATTAATTATGAGATTAGTTTTATATTAATTTTTTAAACACTTTCAAAATAGTATAAAATAATGATAAATTTTGTTCACCCTTGCTCAGCATTTGAAATATCATCTAAAGTAATTTTTTTTTTTTTTTTTTTGCATGTTTTTTTATTTTATTCTTTGCATTTTTTCATATTTTTATGTGATAATCGCATGTGATAATCATATGTGATAATCGCATATGGTAATCATATGTGGTAATTGCATTTATAAAATAAAAGATAAAGTTTTAAATGCATCTTTTTTCACAAAATTTTAGTTAAAGACTTTGTTTATTATTTTGTTTTTGGAATTATTATTTATACATTCAGGCATATTGTGGAAATTGTTGCGTTGGCGCTATTGTTTGCAAACTTGATCAACATCGAAAAGATGTGTGGAGAGGTTATATTGCAATGCTTGCTGTACATAAAGATTATCGCCGACACAAGATAGGTATCATACATCTTGATAATCAATGCAAGTTCTATGTATACATTATTTTGTTTTTTATCCTATTTGAAATTGTTTAAGTTTGTTGGATTTTTTCAAAACAGTTTTTTTTATATATATATTTTTGTATATATATAAAATATTCAAATTTAAAACTGCAATGTTAGATTTTCTAATGTTTGTATTTTATTTATTATCATTTGTGCTACCATTTTTATATATTTTTTCTTTCACTGAACACTTCTTCATTTAGATTGCCTGGATAAAAGTTGTGTCCAGGAATGCAGAGTCCCGAAAGGACTCTGGCTTTAAAACTATGTTTTTTCTTGGTCTCTGGTGTTCAGGAGTAATTGTGAAGTAACTTATGATCTGTAATAAGAAAAAAAATCATGAGATATAATGACTAGGAACTTATTGTGTTTTTAGCCCAGAGTTCTAGAGTCCTTGCCGCCATTATACATTAAAACTTCAAAATGCAATTGTTTCTCTAACCTTATAAGTCCCGATTTTTTTTTTACAAAAGTAGTCTATAACCCTCTTTACATTTTGGAATCTCTTAAATACCAAAAACTAGGTAGAAATAATCATTTTGTAACTTTCAAATCTGAAGTACTTTTTGGGGCTCAGCATCCCTGGTTGTGTCACTCAAACAAATTATGATTTAGTACAACATTTAGGACCTTAAAAGTTCATATATTTATCATATAGAAATCAAATAGACTGTGCCACATTTATTTTTTTCCAAGTGATTTTTTTATATTTTACACATTTTTTTAGATTTTAATATTACTTTTATAATAATTTTTTTTTTTAAGTATGTGAAGAATATATATTTAAATCTAAGGATACATTCAAAAAAAAAAATACTCTGACCTTTTAATGTACTAAAATTTCAAAATATATTTAAATTTATGACAATAACACGCCGTTAAATGCCAATTTTAAAGCTTGATATATGCTCCATTTTCAAATATTATTAATCTGTGCCAAATACTAAGTGTTCTAAAAAAGATTTTGTTTTATAAAATTTTACTTAAAATATTTAGGTCTCATTATTTCAATCGAAAACTTTTCTCTTTCTTAAGCTGCAGCAATGTTCTATTTTTTATTTCATTTCTTATGTATATTTTAATATTCTTTTTTTTAATGAATTTTCATTTTTATGTTTAATTATTTTATGTATTTAACTAAGCATGTATATTATATATGCTATATAATATATGCAATGCATTTTTATCCTTATATATCCTTAGCATTATCTAAAATGCTACCTTTATTTGATTCAAAATAATTCTTTAGATATAAATGAAAAATAAGTTTAGATTTTTATAATAATGTCATTTTCATCAGTTGTCTAAAAGTTTGTATTGTTGTTGGGAGCAATTTACAATAAATACAAAATCTCTACATTATGTAAACAGCACAGTTGAAGAGTTGATTAAATTAAACGTTTTTCATGAATAGTTCAAACTAATAAAAAATTTTCCAACAAATATTTATTCTAGTTGTTGCAGAATTCTGTATATGCTTAAGACTGTGAAAAATTCAAGAATGGCTTGGGGAGAAAAGATATCTAAGGTGAAGATAATATAAATTTAATTCTTTTTTTTGAAATAAAGTTGTTCAACAGAATTATAATGTAATATGTTTTAGAATTTTTGTTCTGTTTCTATTTTTAACAAATTTTAGCCTAGTTATATAAGTTCGTTTTTTAAAATAATATTGGTTTTTATAAATATTCATCAAATGAGCTTAATTACTAGTTAATTATGAATTTATGTTTAAATAAATGCTTTAATATTCTATATAAATTATATTTTCAAGATTGATTGGTCAAAGAAGACTGGCAAGATGAATGTTCAAAATATATCTGACCCAGAAACCTCAACCAAAACTAAAAAAATTTTATGTTCAAGCTGTTTTCCTAGCAGTGGAGCAGTGTTACCACACCAGTGTGGGAAAGAAAATTTTAATCTTATAAGTTTAGCTATTGATCTTGTTTTCTTCAAGCTGAACAGGTTGCAGCAGGAATATTCAAAAGGAAAACTGAAACTGAAAAAATAGCATATGGACTCAACTTTTATAAATCAAAAAGAGGAAAACCACTCATTGTAAAGATTTACCAACCTTGAAAACAAAACTCGCAGTGTTTTATCAGAACACTACCAGAGCCTGAAAACAAAACTGGTAGTGTTCTATCAGACAATTATCTGTTCAATTTGTTGAAGAATTGCAAATTGTTTTAGAACTCTCACTATATAAAACAAAAGGTAAGCAGCTAGCAGTCCTTAGAAAATGTATGGGTAAAGATCATCCATTGAATCAAACATCATTGAAACACTAAATAAAATTGAAGAATTTATCTCCAGATTTTATGAAGTTGAAAAGGTAATGGAGTATATTAAGTATTTGTTAATTACAGTTACAAACCAATGAAAAACATTTTTTTTAAATAATATTTGCTATATAAATTAAGTTCTTGGAACCAAATAAATCTGTCCTTTGCAGAGATAATGTATATGTCTGAGACACATCAAACTTTATTTTAGATATAATGGAACAACAGAAAATGAAAAGAAAATTCAGTACTGAATTACCTTGCTGAAGGAATCACTATTAAGTTGGGAGTTACTAGAAGAAAAAAAATATAGAGTTAAAGAGCAAGGAAACTGTTGACAGAAGACTTGAAAAGTTATATGTTGTATGGGTTAGGAAAATATGAAGATGGGAGAGAGTTCCAAAAGGGTTGAACTGTTGGGAAACTGGACAAATAAAAGTTTTTAGAGCATACAGGGACAGATATAGTAAACGAATGAGGTTTTGCTTGATAATCTTTAATGTCTTAAAAAATTAAGATCTGTTAAAGATGCTTTTTTTGGTAACACTTTAGAAACTAGATTTGAGGAATCTATTTCCAAGTTAAAGAATTTGTTTATTTCTTCACAAGAGCTAGCTTTAGACTTTAGGAAAAAATTGAGTTTCAAACATTCATATCATTTTGTACCATGTAGTTTCATTTGTCAAGTATTATAGATGCAATTTAGGAAGGTATGCTGAACAGTGTGTTTTTTTGGGAGCAGTAGAATAACCTAACCAATGTGTGTGTTTTTTTTTCCAACTAAAAAAAATATATATTACATTTGTTGTCCTATATTATTACTTTTAATTTAAAAAAATGAAAATTTAAAATAATGAAGAAAAAACTCACTTAAAGTATATTTTTTTAAAGTGTGATTTCATAGCTGAAAATGATTATAGACTTGTCATTCCTCCAACTTTTGAGGCATAGAGGTAACTAACTATAAGTTATTTTACCTGACAATATCTCTAATGGTTGGTTACCCATGCTCTTATGCAGATTAGCCCCATTTCTGTCTATTATTTCAATCTTTTAAAATATCCTGGAAAAATTTTAAAAAACTACATACCATGATCATTTTGATTTTAAAAACAATTGAAAACAACTTTTATGGTACTAAATGCTGTATCAAACCATACTTTGATAGTGACACAACTTTTATCCTAGGGGTCTAAATGAGGAGCAGTGTGAATAATAGTTTTTTAGGCATTTTTTTTTTTATGTTTTTTTAGTACAGGAATTAATAAAAAACTAATGTATACACATTTGATAGTTAATTTCACTAGTCACTAGGGATTGCAACCCCAGAGATCTTTTTCAATCTTGGGTATTCTGGATTGAAAATGATCAGATTACTGAACATATAATGTCGCACCTAGCTATACTTTAGGCAGTCCCGGTCCAAAAAAAGAATAAATAAAAGATCCTGTAGAAAAAATAGCCCTTTGCCAAATACTCACCCCTTTCTCCGGTGAATTTATGAAATCACCCAAAATGTTTTGTAATTTTTATACAGAATAGTCCAGCAAAAGAAACGCTTGTTTAGTCTTGACCAATGATTGGTTGGTTTTACAATCATTAGAAACGAATAAGCTTTTGAATAATGCGCTTGATGATGAAAAATGTCTTTTTTCCTTAACTTGAACAGAGTTTCAACTATTATGCAAGTATTTTAGAAGTCCACTAGTATCAGTTCACTGTTTATGCATATGAAAAATCAAAGTTGTATGCATTTTCTTGCTTGTATTATTATCAAAATTTTTTATTTTAATAAGCATAAAATTAATAGCTATGTTGGCTGAAAAAAATTAAACCCCGCTTGTTTAAATATCTAATTAAAAATCTGCTTTGCAGGTAATTAAAAATATATAAAGAAATAAAAAAGGATTAAAAAAGAACATTTAAAGAATTAAAAAAGAATCAAAGAAAGAAGTCACTTACATACTGTTTATAAAAATAATATATATGGTTGTTATATATGGTATAAATGTTCTTAATTGTTCTTAATTAACTATAAAAATCTTTACATAATATTATAAGTATTAAGACTAAGTTTAAAGATTTAAAAGAGGATTATTTTTACAAGGATTATTATAAAAATTATAAAAATTATAAATTGCTATAAAAACTATAAAAAGAGAATTATTTTTACAAGGGTATTTTAGAAAACTTGAATAAATGTTTTGAAAAAGACATACAATAAAATCCTGTAGGATCTCAAGCAGCAAGAGTTTATGCATAACCTAAGATGCACAAACTTAGTAAAGATAATTCTCTTCCAACTTTTCAACATATAATATCAACAATTGGGACATATAACTACAACCTTGCTAAATATCTTTCTCATTTATTGTCTCCACATATACCTGAACAATTTTGCACTCTAGACTCATTTTCATTTGTTGAAGAATTGAAGCAAGTTCATGTAAATAATAATTTTATTTTTTCATATGGTGTTGAACGTTTATTTACTAACATACCACTTGCTCAAAACAACTTTCTAAAACTCAGTTTAAGAAACTACTACAAATTTCAATATCTGTTTCCCATTTTCTTTTTGACGAAAATATTACGATCAAACAGATAGTGTTGTAATGGGTTCTCCTTTAGTGCCAATCTTAGCTAATATTTTCATTGGATTTCATGAACAAACATGGGTTAACTGTCT